TATGCGCACTCTTTTCCATCTCTTTTGCAGCGGCCACAAGCCGGTTTTGTTGAATCGCATTTCACGTGCCTGCTCCTACACTGTGTACATGCGAGAGGTACTCGGTCAATAGGTTTCGCTTGCCTTGAGGGTAAGTCCATCCGGATATCAAAATGAGTAAATGTAGCAAACGCGATTGCCTTGAAGTATGAACAGAAAGAGAATTGTGTAAGAAGAGGAGTATATCTTGAAACTGTGACATTGAAACCCGAATCGGAGAGGCCACTAAGTTGCAGCTCCTAGTTACTAGTAAGCGCTAACCCCATCCGTCTACTGAAGCTCTTCCGACAGAGCATCGCATAAAGCTTCTATACTTGCTGCACTCTTCTTCGCTTTCGACTTCAAATCCCCCACGATCTTTAGGGAGAAGTCGACGTGCTTAACCCCCTGGTGAATGCTGCTGGTACTAACAATATCTACATCCTCGCAGACATACGCGGCAACATTGTCCTCTGTCAAGCCTCCACTAACTTCAACCAAGAATGTTTTTCGGTCTCCAGCCCCTCGACCCCACTTGTCTTTTAATTGGGCGGCAGCAGTCTTGACGCCGTCCGGAGAGAAGTTGTCTAGCATGACTACGTCCGCGCCTGCGGTAATAGCTTCATCTGCTTCTTCGAAGCTCTGACACTCTACTTCGACCTTGATAGCGAAGCCACCTGCAGCTTTGGCGGCGCGTACAGCATTAGTGATACTTCCGGCCGCGACAACATGGTTGTCCTTTAACATCGTCATAGCAGAGAGGTCCTGGCGATGGGGATCCACACCACCAACAAGCATGCCGTACTTCTCTACCAGCCGGAATCCTGGAGTAGTCTTGCGGGTTCCAGCGAGGGTGTTCTTGTATCCGGCTTTTCGGAGAAGAGAAAGCAGACGGGCAGATCTATTTGGGATTAGTAAGGTCGGTGTCAAATTGGAAAAGTACCTGCTTACTTAGTAGCAATGCCTGAGCAACGTGCCAAAATGTTCAGCGCAACTCTTTCTCCTAGGAGTATGTTCCGTACTGGACCACGCACTGTAGCACAATGTGTGATTGGTTGAAAGGATTGGCCTTCTTTTACGTGCCATTGGACTCTAAGAGCATCGGTTAGTGGACGCACACATATTTAAGTCAAATTGACTGGCACATAAAGATTTTCTTAGCTCAGGATGATATACCAATCTTTGCACTAAACTGCGGCTTGACCCTAAAGCGTTCAATGAAACAGTGAAGGGACAACTCACGTGCAATCCAACTGACGAAAGACCTCATTAAAGAAAGGCACTCCTGCAACAATACCCTAAAAATTATCAGTGTCCTTATCTACTACCAAAAAACGTTCCAACTTACCTCGCTCTTCCCAAGAAGTTTCGCTTCAGATATCTCTTCTCCAACTACGAATCCTCCATAATCAAAGCTGGGCGTATCTTCCTCCAACCATTCCGAGATCATACGCTTGTAAGACTGCGGCAGCAGATGTGCGACATTGCCGTGAGCAGGAGCACCCTCAACCATCATGAGACTATTTTTAGAGTATTTTTTTCCTCTCGGAAAAGGATTGGGATAAATTTGTATGTAACTGTTTGGAAAGGGAGATGTGGTCTGAATTGGAGGGGTAAATGGAGGGGTAGATTCTTTATATATAAGGACCACGGGTTTTCGGGACCAGATCAAGAGGAAGTGACGCAAATGCTAAGCAGATAGAAGTTTTATCTCAGGTTAGCGGGCTTTATCAGAGAAATATATCCCGCTGTTGACGTCGTATGATTGAAGTTGTTCGGGACCTGTCGGCATAGAGGAAGTCATAGGCTTATCGATAAGAGGCTACTGTCGGACCGGACCGGAGACGACGACGATGCGGAGGTCACCTTTATTTTATATCCTTGCGATACTCGGCTTAAGTGTTAGGTTTAAAGCGCGCTGATGCTGATGTGTGGTAAGGAGATGGAGTGTGGAATTGGTTCTAACGTATTTTTAGTTAAGGAGAATAGGCGAATGGCGAATTGGACACCAGTACATACGTACCTGAAAAACCAGTCTATCAAAGGACAAAAGAGTACAATCAATGAATAATTACCTAAAGTAAGAACAGACAGTATGAATCAACAATCGTGACTACCATTAGCAGTTACATATCCAATAAGTATATCCCAAAAGCCCTTTCAGTGAAGGATGGAAAAGAACCATGTAATTATCGGGCCAGCATACCACTGCTGCCGCAATGACACCCATATTCCCGTTTCTTGTCATTCATGACGCCAGTATGTGTAGTTAAAAGAGCTGGATGTCCCACAACCCTAAGCAATGCTTCCAAACGAACGCCGAGCCTATGATTCCCAGTCAAATACCAGGAATGCGATATGATACAATTCACAATAAGCCTTCTGCGTGATACTTCTAGCTTTGACAAGTCCCTTCCTCAGATTTGCACCATTCAGGGTGATCGACTCATACCTCAAGCTTGCTCACCATATAAAACAGCAAGTACGCCTCCGCCGCTAGCACTTCTGCTTCACTTACAAGCACCACCTTGCTGTCATCAAACATGAACCAGTCGTTCCCCTCTCTTGAATAACTGACATAATGACCCGAGTCGATTTTCCCCTTATGCACGACGACGGTGGAGAGCTCGTACATGGAGATGTTGGAAGCCGTGTTGATATTGGGATTCGACTTTTGTGCACTGGAAATTTTGGCAGACTTTGATTGCGAGGCTTTGCCCTCGGTCGTGTACGGATAGAGATCAAGTTTCATGGGGAACTTGATCGGGGTTTCAAGTTTGTTGGAGGCGGAGTTGTGATGTTCGAAGCGCTGTAATTGTTAGTAAACTCCGATATCCACACCTGCCTAGGGGCGTACTTTGAGATGAATCGCTAGCACTGGCGGCAGCTGCTTGATACTCAACTGCTTCGTAGCGTTCTGCTGCGATTCACATTTCCGACACGTATACTCCGCCGCCGCCAACTTCTCCCGACCAGTGAATCGGTCTAAGCAATCCCGTAAATCAAGGACAGGCTCTTCCGCCGCATTGGGGTCTGCCTTTCGCCTTTTTGCCTGTGAACGGATGTCGAGACTGAGATCCATGTAGGGATCTTCTGCTGTCGTGACATTTCTGCACTTGTCACACGTTACTGTGCTTGAGAGCTTGCCGTAGAATGTCTGATGGATTACGCATGTGCAGTCAGCCGAGCTTGAATCATACGAGGCGCCACCGTTTTGCTGGTGGAGTGCGTTGAGCATAAACTGCATGTACTCGTGAGCGTCTTGCTGTTGGTAGCCGGCGAGCGCCTAAGAGAAGACAGTCAGCCCCTTGAAATAATTAAAAAAATCTCATCCACACAAGCTCACCTGCGCGGCCATCCAGCTTCCCAAAAGCATGCTGACTGGACCGTAGCCCTCGGTCTTTTCAACCGAGTAGAACTCGACGAACATCTCATCCAAAGCACAGCTCACGCAAGCTTCTTTTTCGCAATCGGCCGTCTTGTGTCCCTCGCCTAGATAGAAGCTCCGGATGAATGGATTATGTATCAACGTCTGCAGTATGACACTCATGAAGCATGTCTGGCCCATATTATAGAGACCTCGGAGACCAGTCGCTCGACAGGGGAGGAATTGGGAGTTACCGATGATGAGTTTATGTTCTTCGGTCGTAATATCGTCTTCATACTTCCGTTTCTTGCCTATTGAGGGGCACCAATTAGCAATTATAAATAAACCCATGCAGTATCGACGTGGACTCACCTCTCTGTAGCCTTGTCGGCTCCAGATTAGGGTCATAGATGAAGTCCAGGCAGTTCCCGCAGTAGACGGAGCCGTCTCTCGAATCCACAGCTGTAGCACCAGTCAGCACAATATCCTCTTCCATACGATGTTCCAGAAACTTACAGAAGCAATGTAGCTTTCTCTCTATGTGCTGATCTCTATCCACCTCGGTCATTATATTCGGGCATTGCAAGCAGAGGTAAAGGGGACGAAGAGAGACAACGGGCCGGCCGTCATTTTTATGCGTCTGGGCAATTATGCTCGGTTTCTCATGGATGTTCTGGACAATGGACTGGTAGTTAAGCAGTGCTGCCTTGCGGGCGTTCCCGAGAAGCTCACGCATATGCTCTGTGAAGGCCGTCAGACGGAGAGAACTGTAGCAGTAATGTCAGAGTAACTCACCGCAGCCATATTCAACATAAGCCATCTGGCTATTGGGTATGAGACCTCCCTTAGCATTCTTAAAGTTCTTGGGAGAGGCCAGCGGCGCCGCCTTGGTAGCGGAGATGGTGTCCATAACGATTGACCCGTAGAAGGAAAGTGTGGTGGTGATGGTTGAGGAGGTCTACATATTCGAGGGTAGACAATCAGGAATAAAGAGACTCCAGTGAGAGGACGGTGTCAATAGCGAGCTTCAGCTATCACGCTCCGCAACTTCACAGGTATCGCATCTCAGCATGGTTCAGTTCGAAGCTTTGGACCACCCTGCATGCCGGATAAAAAGCGCCACACTAGCGGATCTCCCGCCCCACAGCCCCGAACTCTCGTCCTTATCCGGTTGCCTGCAGGCTCAAGCCAAATTCTGTGCCTCTACTCTGAGATTTCATTTGTATTTGAGATTGACGTTACGAATGGACCTTGAAATATTTATTCCAGACAGACGCCCTGATGCTGGCGCATAGAATTATAACTTGCCATAATCAGAGGTTTGACATGTAATGTGCCGCCTCTTGAGTGGTCAACCTTTCAAGCCTTACAAAGTGGCGCATGCGATATCAAATCGCAGGTCCCGAAGCGCAAGCAAAATCTTAGCACAACCTACGCAAAATTAGTGCGCAAGAGTTACCTTAGTGCGCAAGAGTTACCATCCAATGCTGCCCAAGCCTCTGCCCCGCTCATCTCCACTGTATCTCACCAAACTCATGCAGATACCCAAATGATTTATTACTTGTAAACAACTATCATAATGTATAAAACAGTACCATCTATCATCAATTAGTTGGACAACGTGGCCGAGTGGTTAAGGCGTTTGACTCGAATTATCCAATTCAAGCATATCAAATTTCTTCGGAAGCACAGGTTCGAGTCCTGTCGTTGTCGATATTCTTTTTTGTTTTTTAATGGTAAGTGTCCCACGGAGGGGTAGTTAGTCCTTCAGGTGCATATTGATTTGTACGGGGACAATATAGAATTCTCAAACCTCAACTAAACATCGAACTATAAGATAACAATTGCAGAGACAGATGCCTAACAAGCACAATATCCTTTAGGATATATAGTTTTTCCAGCATATATAACCTAAGTGTGATGACACTTCTTACAGTTTATTACTGAGCAGAATTAACATTGCACGCTCTCATAAACTAACCGCAAGAAGGTGGGTGTATTTAGAACGATAGAATGGTGGAAGAAGATATACAGCGGGAGAAGCCGCGACATCTACTGCTCCGAAATGGATCTTACATAAGTTATCCAAATCGCATACATATCATTTTTGATTAAATGCTTTTTTGTATTTATTGATTTAATTGTACTGTAACCACCTGCATCAGCTCTTATCACCCTCTTCTTTCTTCCAGAGAATCAATCCTCTGCTAGCTTTCCAATATCTAGGTTGCTTTTAGATAGCCAGGGCATGGGCATCAGGAACATGTACGTCATGACAGCATATCGTCGAGCCCAAAAATGCCCGCAAGTGAAAGGTTCATAACGTCATGCTCAAACCTCCAGCCCAGTGTATGTTCTCAGATCTGGACCAACCCTTTATATCTTATTACATCCAGACAAAACGAAATCGGCTTGAGTTCCTAAGCCTCGTATCCTAGGCCGGCCAACTCCTTGCGAATGGACTCTTCTGTACCAATCTTCTTGACCTGCGTATCCTCCAGTTTCTCACCACCAGCCTGCCTCATCTTCAACTCATCGATGGCGCGAATCTTCTTTAACAAACTGCGAACCTTCTTATCCTGAGCACTACCACCATCAGGGCTAGTGACAGTAAGATCCGGGGCTGGAGCCTGCGTTTGCGTTTGGATCTGCGCAGGTTGCTGAGAAACATTCTTCTGATTCTGGCCCTGGTAGCCGGACCCAGCTCGATGGTGGTTTTGTTGGCGGTTATTGCGGTCATCATAACCACCCTGGCGACGCGGACTATTGCCTTGATAGCCTCCATGCTGGCTAGGACTGCGTCCCCCTTGGCTTCCGAACCCGCCGTTCCTGCTTCGGCTTCGCACGTGACCGCGTCCATCTCTTCTCTCAGGGCTCCGGCCACTTGCGGGTCCAGAAGGTGGTGCCCTTCCGTCCACAGTGGTCAAACCAGCGGCCTTCTCAGCAGCTTCCTTGGCCTTCTTGGCCTCACGTTTCTTCTTGTTCTTCAAAGCTGCTTTTGACAAGGATTCGTCACCATCAGCGCCAGCAAGGCTGACACCACCGCCGGGGGCGGCACCGGGAGGAAGCGAATCGACAGGCTCCGCTCCAGGAACCTCACGGCGGCGAGGCTTTCCGAACCCATTGGAAATGTTACCAGAAGTCGATGAAATTCCGTTATTCGAGTAAGCTGCCCCACCCTCGTCTTCGCGCTTGAAGTGAAGGGGCGTGCTTGTTCCACGTGCGCCCGGTGGGCGATAGGCTCCAGCAGGTTTCGCGGGCGTCTTTACGGTACCCAAGTAGGCAATCGCGGATGGATGCGGCGTAGGAACAGGGTGGAGAGGATTCTCCAACGGGTGCGTTAGAGTTGACTGAGGGCGCCAGCAGACATGGTACAGCTCAGTCATGTCCTCGTGATACATCAGACCACCCCCAACGTGCCAGATCCGGATTCCGTTGTCGACACGGAGTCGGGGGTTCGTAGTTGCGGTAAGAATGTGCTTGCCATCCGGACTCCACTCACAGAGAGTGCAGTTGGCGGCTTGGATGGTGCAAACCTTGGAATAGTTCTTTTCGAGGTCGTAAATATCCATCTGTCCAGCTAGATTTCCAAAACCAGCAACAAGGACGAATCGACCATGAGGGGAGAAAAGAATAGTGTTGCGAGGAGCCAAATCGAAATTGTGCTGAGGAACAGCACGAACATTAAAGATGGTTGTCTTGGCCGGCATGTATCCGTAGACAACACCGAACTCTTTCGAGTTGGGGGACCAGGATACATCATGAATCGGTCCTTCTTTGTCTGCATGCCCCATCAGCATCCCTATTCCAGAATGCGAGACTAGTGGACTTACCGAGATGGATTCTCGAATCAAAGCCGCCATTCGCACTCAAAATGTACATGTTCGTTTCGCCGTAATAGCTCTTGTTCGTCTTGTCGACTTCCGTCTGAGCCAAAACGATCACGCTTGTTCCCAAATCATTCCATTTGAACGTCACCTTGTCTCCTTTGAAAAATGTCTTCTGCGAGATTGGCGAATTGAATTGCGGAACTTGGAAGACTTTGACTGCGGCAGGAAGACCCTACGTTCGAGCCATTAGCGACTCATCATCGTACATAGAGCGAAAATGTTACCTTTTTCTCCGGAACAAAAACAGCAACTGAATGGTTCTTGCCGGGCGATACCGCAAAGTTGGACACACCCTCAACGCGAAGCTTATTCCAAACAGTCCCCAAATCCTTTGACTCGTAAAACTGGACCTCGTTTGTCACCGAGCGGGCGCAGAACTTCTCGTCAGATGTGTACTGTAGGTTCCAACCAGTTTGCGACTTCTGCACAAACTGACCGACGATGGGGCGCTCGTGGTCATCCGCAAGGTCCGGCTCAACGGTCCTCCAGACCTTCAAATTCTTGATCGCATTGCCGTCGTCGTCCTTTCCAGGACGCTGCCATGTGATGATGTACGTTCCTAGCGGTGAGAAGCCCAGTTCGTACACATTCGGCGTTGGAAGAGTAGTGATGACATGGCCGACGGAGGCGTCAATAACCGAAACCCTGAAATCAATCAGTTAGAACTGCTGTGAATGTTTAAAGAAGAAGCCTTACTGTTCGGGTGACGCCCAAGCAAAATATCTGCTGTCTGGCGAGTAGCAGCAGCACCGGAGATTGCCTTCGGGTCTGTCAATGGCGGTCAGTGGTGCAAGTTCCCATCTTCGGCGCGTAAAAGGATAGTTACCGGACAAATCCAGGTAGGGCATCATAAACTGGCGCCGCATTGAAGACTCCAATGCCTTTGGAGGTACGATCTAAAGGAAGCACATTAGCAAAGAACCAATATGAACAGATCAAAGTACATACAGGCCAACTGTGTAGGAACCGCCATGACTAGTCAAAGTCACAGAACAGGAGAATACGAAGATGGTCGTGCGGACGAAGATGCTCAAGGTGAGGACCTGTTTCAACAGCTGAAGGCGGCGGTGAGGCTGCAAGTTTGAGGGACGTCCTGTAAATGACGTGTACTGCGGAGTTTGCGAAGGCTAGTACCGTGCAGGGCGAGGATGCAGCAACAGAAGTAGCAGCAGCTTTCGAAGCAAAAGTGCACCACGGAGACACGCGTGAATTGGGGTCAAACGAACGGGTGTGAAGAGAAGAGAGGGAGAAGCCTGTGAATCTGTTGCAGCTTTCAGGTGGCCCAGAATCAGCGTGCCAAGAAGAACGCTGCGCATCTTTAAACTTCTTCGAACTAACCTGTTGCGTAACCTTCCGCGGTTCGGCGAAACATGGCTCCGTAAAAAGTTCCCCATTGTTGGTGTCACGTGCAATTCCCCTTCACTCCCGATAGGACTCATCACGAGTGGTCCCTAGGGGGTAGTTAAAGAATAATTTTTGCAGTAAGACGTCCAACCAATATGGGTGGGTTTTCAATATCAGTTATCAGTCGTTGTTGCGTAGTAGTAATTATAGCGGTTGTGTTATAATAACCTCTCTGTTGCCTGAGCGGCAGCACTGGCAGATAGGGAACAGCGTCTAGTAGCTGGTGAAATAACTCACCATAGCTATGTTAGAATAGTTTAGGTTGAGGAAAAGGCAAAAGATTTTGGACGTTGGAGGGAGACTCCTCTGCTGTCGGGTTTACTTTGCTCTACGCATTGATATTACGTGTTTATAGACCCGATTGGGAACCAGGTAGCACGTTAAATTGAATTATAATAATAATAATAATAATAATAATAATAATAATAATAATAATAATAATAATAATAATAATAATAATAATTATATCAGTCAATGATTAGTTCATTAATTATAGCTATGCTCACACCTGTAGGCGAAGAGTCGGGTGCAAGATTCATGAATGGATTTATTACATCATAGCATTGACATTGCGGTTCGAACTACAAGTGCTCGTCCCACTCCTTGCGTACTTAAAACACTCTATCCTAAGTCCTTAGACTTCCTCGAAAGTGAGAGCGAATGCCTTGATTGACTGGGCTTTGAAGGATCAACACCATCCTCCTGCTCGCTCTCGCTCTCCTTTTCTTTCTTCTTCTCAATCTTGTGGATTGCTTCTTCAGTCAACTCTTGACGATTCATACGCTCCAGAACATCCTTCTTTCTGGTTCGCCGGTCCCCAATCATGATCAACAGTCCCGCTGTTGCGTTGCAAGTGATCGAACAGCACAGGATGACTGTTGTCAATGCAAAGGGCCTATGCTTATAGTAGATCGCCCATGTGCAGGTACCAAGGGCAATCTGAAAGAGAGAGTGGCAATCCAGGAGAACCACAATAGCAACTAGGAGGCGTAACGGAAAGGCATAGTGAGTCTCAGTCTCATGTGGCTTGTAGAAAGAATGAGACTTGCAAAACTTCTTTTCGTGGTGTTCCAGCTTAGCCTGTTGTTTGGGGGTAAGAACCGTAAACTCCCATTGTTTCTCGGGGTCATCCTGGTCGGCCGGTCCGGTAATCGGGGCGTTGCTGGAAGGAAGATCGTTCCGATCGTGCAGTTTGGGTAACATATCCTTCTTCCTTCGAGACCAGGTAAAGTGATGATAATGAGCAATGAATATCATGTGGTATGTGTCCACGGCCCGGAAGGGCGCCAAACCATCGCCAACAATAGCAAAGAGCGCAACCAGAACGTTGTCTATGATGTTGACGACATAAAGCTGTTTCCCTCCAACATTGATCCAACCTAATGAAATTAGTACAAGCGCAAGACCTCCATACAGCGA